TATTGTTGTGAAATTGTGGTCTACGATTAAAAGTTTGTTCATCGTTTATTCCGCATTTTTAACGTCTCTCTCCTTTTCTTCCCTTCCACTTTTTCCTCACCCTTTCTTATTCCCTCCGACCGTTTCCGGTTGTCTCGGTTATATTCGAACCCGCATGGTTTCCGGTGAGTTTTCGACGCTACAGAAGCGCGCGAACACCTTCACCGCGTCTGCATCGTCGAGGAATCGAAATTACACCGAAATCACCATCAAACTCTCCCTTAAGCCGCTATTACTCATGCGAACAGTGAAGTGCCAGGTTACAGAAAGTCGACGAATCGGACGTCATCCGCCGGATGACGCTGCGCGACGATGAAACACACTCGTCGTACGCGAGAGGAATTGAACGTTCGCGATATCCGACTTCGCGGGAGAATGAGTAAACAACGAAGAACGTACGTATCACGATGAGGTGTGGAATGCACACCTGGATCGTCACATAGATTAAAGAGGAAAACGGAGGCGCGTACAGCAGATTAAGAAGATCACTCAACGTGACGCGGAAATCGCCCGGATCGGGCGGTCGCGCGCCGTTCGCCTCGTCGAATTATCCGTTCGTTCGTGTAAAAACGCGCGACCGTCGCGGGGCGAAAAAAGCGGGACAGAAGGACTCACGCTGCACGAGAGTGGAATAAAACGGTCAACGATTTAAAAATATTTACAGACTGCATGACGCGTCTACTCGCGAACACACATACACAGTCTTCACGTATACCGGAGCGCGGTCGCGCTGATGACGTGGTCGGATTTTTCTCTTCTTTTCGTCATCGGAGACTTTCTTCAACGGGAAGATCTCGACGGGCTAAACGCGTTATCGCGTAATCCGCGGTCGCGGCACAATCCGCCAATCGAGGCTTCTTTGTCGGAGCGAGAGACGTTATTGCGAGCGACTCACACGTAAAACGCCGCCCGTCCTATCGTGTCCATTTTACTATTCTATCTCTTTCTCTCTTGCTCTTTCGCTCTTTCTCTCACTCTCTCTATTTCTCCCCCTCTCTCTCTCTCTCTCTCGCTCTCTCTCTCTCTCTCTCTCTCTCTTTCACCACTGCGCTCGAGTGCATCCGGGAAGGTCGGTTGAAACACGCGTCGGTAATCAACATACTTCGTCCGAATTAAAAGCCTAATCTCGAATTTAAAAATTAACTCTATACAGATTACCTAATCTCTAAAAACGTATTCTACGTACGTACATAAACACCGAGAAAGATCGCACGTGGTCATCCGGTTTCGTTCATTGCGGGATGAAGTCTCGCGGTCTGTCAACTAGTCGAATTTTTCCACTCCTAAACTTTCGAGACTCTTCGATCGTTCGTGCAATTCTTACTATTATTATTATTGGTCTGTTCTGCGTGGAAGGACCGCCAGTGTTGCGCGCACGCACAGAAACACACACAGATGCACAGATGCGTCGAATTCGTCATTGCTTAATTCGGAATTTAAATTTTCCTCACCTCTCTCTCTTCCTCTCACTCTCTCTCTCTCTCTCATTCTCACTCTCTCTGTCTTTCCCTTTTAGTTTCTTTCTTTTTCTTTTTCTCTTTTAATGCGATGCGGTTAACGATAATATGCGAACCAATTTCACGATTAATGCACGATTCGCGCGGCACGTCCTAGAAACTTCTGTCTGACTTCGGTCCGACAGCGTCTTTGCACCCGATCAAGGAAGGCTCTGTGAAGTATCCTATTATAATCAACGATTTCGTTTCCTCACGGCGCGCAGAAACGAGCTCGCCGTACAGACCGCTGTTAATCTTGCCGTATCTATCGCCATTAAAGAAAGAGAAGTGAAATAAAAAAGAGCGTTTGTTTCACCTTGCATCGGATTCGTCGCGAACACGGCGGGCCGCGCGAGCCTTCGCGCGATCGCGACCAAACATTAAGTCAGTCGGACACCACATAACAGCACACTGGTCCGCTCTGCACGTGGTATAATTCGCGGTACTATTTGGTATATGAATCGCTCTCGCGGCAGGAACTATTTCAGCATCTCAGTATTTCGGTGGTTCTCTCGTGTCGGGGCTTCTTTGGCCGCCGACGGAGAAGCCTCGTCGTCGCGTTTCGCGCCGAAGTTATCCATCTTGCGACGTCGCCGCGATTTTCCGCCCCGACGAAAAGGATGAACGATTCGTTGATTCGCGCGAATCAACGGTCGAATGACGCGAATGACGTTCGAGATTCATCGGCGGAATGTTCGACCGGATCCACGGCCGGAAGCACGACGTCGACACCGAAGGCGGAATACGCACTCGAGGATCTCGCGTGCCGCGGAGACTCGATCGCGCGCGCAAGACAACGCTCGGACAGTCGCCATTGTTGCGACGTAATTCAATGTTTATTCGAAGAGACACGAGACAGACGTTTTCAAAGCACCTTCGAAGAATGAGATGACCCGACGCGGCACCCGAAGAGTCTCCGATCGGCGTACAAGGTGTTTATTTCATGATGTTAATTTCTTAATTAACGCCCACTATTACGGAGCGTTACTCCCTGTGAAAATTCGAGTCGGGAAGTATCGGACGAAAATGTTGAGACGTCGATAGTTTAGGAGATAAAAGCGATTGGGAAAACAAAGCTTTTCGCAAGCTTCGAGCGACCAACCGGATGATAAATCTATTTTCTTCGATTAATTTCAAGCGGATTTTACTTCAACAGAACTTGAACTTAGGATTTAGCTATAGAGATATGTTGTGTTGAACGTTGGGAAATTGACATAAATTGACATAAATAACGATTTTGTCTCTCAATAAAATGGTTCGGAACATTTTAATTCAACTATTCGCGAGGAATAATGCTGTATAAATAGTGAGCGTTAATAACGAAACGATCTGTATATTTCCAATCCGAATCCTTTCGGAACAATTGAAACCTCGTGTGCGTACTGAGCGCGATTACCGTCGGCAGAGAGACTCGTGAAACCGCGACGTAGAAGATAACGAAACGCAAGTGACAAAAACAGAACGAGCGCAGAACGGTTAATGGCGTTCGACCCAGTACAAGCTGTTCGTGCATGTACAGCAGACTTCACATATACAGTCATATTCCCTAGGCATAGGGACATAGAGAATTTCCAACCGGGCGCATCAGGGGGTATGTAATTTTTCCTTAGGGCGGAAACGCGAAAGATGAGTATTTCTAATTGCTTTCAAATTAGAAAATTTTCACTTTTCACGAGTTCACACTGAAAGATTCACAAGATTCGTATGAACCCGACGACTTTAGCGATCGTGTAATTTCTCGAACAATGAAAATATGAAACTTTTCACGTTTCCGCTTCTAGGAGAAAATTACGATGATCGTTATCTTGGTCTGAATATTTGTATTATGACTGCCACTTTGGAGTATCGTTGCCGATTCACCGAGTAATCACGATGCACGAATATTCGGACATGACCCGGGTAGAAATTAACGGCGGCGCGCTCCAAGTCTGCAGTGGCCTTAGATACGTCCAAAAATAGGCCTGCCTTCGTTAGGCCTAGATATGGCCGAGAAAGGCAAATTCTGAATGGAATTTCATGAATAAGCTCTGAATAATCCACTGACGTGGATGCCACTAATAAAGTTTATGCTCATAAGGCCCAGTCAGAGCTTAGTTAAGCAATTCTTAAAATAGTCCAAAATGAGGTCTTCAAGAGACTTAAGTGAAGCTCACAATAATAAGGTAGAAATAAGACCGAATTAATTTTGATTTGGATTTTGTTTCTCAAAAATAACGTTTAAGTAAAAAGAAAAAAAAAACCGTGAACTCTATTCGCAAATTCGCATTTTCTTATAAATTGGTAACAAGATACAGTCTAGTCAGACGTATTAAGATAAGGCCTAGCTAGATTTACGAAGCTGGCTCTAATTTGTACGAGCCAGCTTTATATTTCTGTGTAGGGCCTAAGCTTGCCTGTACAGCGCCTAGATACAAGTGGGGAAACATTGTGCAGAACCTTTCCAGTTCTCGTTTTAAATTTTCATCCGGGTGATGCGTCTGATTGGGAATTTTTGACGTTGCTACAACGTCACTATTCCGTATCACTATATGCGGAGTCTGCTGTACCGTCGACGATACTGTGCGACGTTAGTTTCTCACGTCGACGATAGGTCGTCGTCGGAAGGGAGCAATGTCGTCTAACGAGACGTCCGCGACACGACCGAGGCCTCCAGCTTCTTCTTTCCCACATCGGAAGAAGAGGAAGAAGAAGAAGAAGAAGCGGAGGGAAATGTTAGCTCACGCCTAGTTGAAGCTGTGACGCACGAAGAAACGTAAGCAACGAGATTGAGGCGGTGAACGAATCGATCGATCACAGTCGGCAGTTTCAACACGATAGTCCTGCGTTCTGGATAATCCTCGACTATGATTGGCCGGGTCGCTTAACGCCTCAGTTTCACCGCTCACGTCCCCACGTGCCACTCGCTCTTAGGAGTCTCCCCGAGTCGAAACTCGCGGGATGGGGGAGGGGGGACATTAATAACGGAATAAACGACCAAGCACACACAATCGCATTCAATAGATTTACCTTCTCAAACACGGCTCAAGACATCGGCGTTCGATCATTCTTCCCTAGCTGGGTCATCCCGGCGTGAGAGCGTCGCTTGAAAACCACCGACGGCATCCGCGGGACGTGAACACGCGGGGGCCGGATGGGGCTCGTCCGTCGAGACACGTGCACTTTGGCGGAGCTGTCGGTCGGTCGGTAAAAGTCAGTCTTGCGGAGGATCAAGTAGTGGCTCAAGGGGGATCGCGCGAATTGAATCTCTAATCTGTACAACCTGCGTGTCTACGACGAGGGACTCGACGACGAGTGAGGGGTGTGCGGGGTATGGTGTACTCGTGAGGGTACACTCGGTCGATCGGGGGCCTGTGTCGTCCATCGACATCATCGTCGTCGTCGTCGTCGTTATCATTATCATCCGGGCGAGAATGACGAGAGCAATGATCGCGCGTAAACGAACGTACCGGTCCGAAACGGCCAATCCTAGTCCGAACCGTTGTGCTGCAGCAGCGCGGGCGCCGACTGTGACTGGAGCGACGACTCGTGGTGATGATGGTGGTGATGAGGATGATGCTGCTGCTGCTGCTGCTCGTCGTCCTGCAGCGGCGAGGGCGTCCGGCTGCTCTGCGAGGTCGCGATGTCGCCGGCGCTGTTGCCGCTGCTGCCGCCTCCGCCGCTGCTGCTGCCTCCTCCACCAGCACCGGCAGCACCAACACCGCCGCTTCCACAGCCAGGATTCCCGGACGAGTCGAAGCCCTTCTGCTCGCTCGGGGGCAGCAGGTGCACCATGTTCACCGGCATCGGGAAGGACCCGGCGGCGAAGTCGGGGTAGAAACCCTGCGGCAGGTTGCCGCCCAGCAGGGTGTGATGGTGGAAGCTGGCGGCGTCGTCCGCCGGGTGGGTCGGCGGCAACGCGGCCAGCCCGTGCCCGAGCTGGGCGCTCTGCTGGACGGCCTTGACATTGTTGTTCACCGCGTTCATGTACTCGGGGTTGCTGGTGCCGGACCCGGTGCAGTCCCTGCGCAGCTGCTCGAGCTTCAGACTCTTGCCGTACTTGCCGCGCACGTACATCAGCAGGCTGTTGTACGGTATGCCGAATATCCGGCTGGCCTGCGACGTCGTCATCTTCTTGTTCCAGACTTGCTGGAGCGCCTCGGTCAGCTCGGCGTTCGTCCAAGACCTGGGCGGGCCGCCTCGCGGCGCGCTGTGCTGGCCCTTCGGCCTGTCCATCGGCAGGCCGCGAGCGGTCGGGTCGCTCCATCGGCGCGGCGTGTCGCCGTTACCCCGGTACTTCTTCGGCTTCTTGTTGCTCAGCGGCGAGTGATGGGCGCTGAGCCCGCCGGCGCCGAAGAGGCCGTGCAGCGCCTCCGAAGCCTTGAAGTCCGCGTGGAGGTCCGCGAGCAGGCTGCCGCCTCTCTCGAGGCTGCTCGCGTGCGGGAAGAGGCCGGCCCCGAGACCCGGCACGCCGTCCAACGTCGGGAACATCGCCGCGACGGAACTCCGGCGTGGCGGCAACGGCGAGTCCTGCCGTTGCTGCTGCTGCTGCTGGAACGGGTGGCTCCTCACCGACACGTGCGGGCTGCCCTCTCGCGCGAGGTGGCTCGGCGGCGGAGGAGGCGGTAACTGACCCTGCGGATGTCCGGGTAGCCACTGAGCGGCCAACTGGCCGAGGCTAGTCAGGTACTCGCTGTGATGATGCGGCGACGTCAGCGACAACGTCGATATCGGCGGCAGACCCGCGACCGAGGCCGCCGCCGCCACCACCGCCGCCGCCGTTGAGACGTCCTGGATGGGACCGTCCGGGTGGAGGAGGTTCGACCCGGTGAGCGGCGAGCAGCGGGGACTGCTCGCGGTCTCGCTACCCTCCGTCTTCATGGTTTTCCGGTGCCGGTCCAGCCCGCTCGGTGAGGCGGACCTCTTCATCGACAGATTCTCCGCAATGTCCTCTTGATGTCGCTGTTGATGCTGGTGGTGGTGGGTCTGCGCGTTGCCGGAGGGTTGCTGCTGGTGGAATTGAGGCTGCTGGGGTTGCTCCTGCTGGGCCTGCTGGTGCTGCTGACTAGCGCTGAGGTTGAGGCAACCCGGCGACGGGCTCGAATTCTGCGTGTGGTTTCTGCTGAGATCCTGCGGCACCGTCTGCACGAGCTCGCCCGACCGCCGGCGCGGCCGCGCTTGTTTCCGCCGCGGCATCAGCGACGAGCCGCATATCTCGCGTATCGTCTGGTAGCTCAGCTTAAGCGGTATCCTGCTGTCGCGATGGTCCCTCGTCGAATGGAAGGTCGTCGTCGTCGTCGGGTTGGGCAGCGCCGCCGTCGTCGCCGCCGCCACCGCCGCGAGCTCCTTCGGCGTGTTCTCCGAGGCGTTGTCGTCCTCCTCCGGGCTGTCCTGTCGGGCGCCCTCCGGCGTCGGCGGCTCGCCCAAGAGGCTCGGCGTCTCCGGCGGCGACGACATCCTGGGATCCGCCGATGCCAATATCGGGTCCGCCGGGGTCAGTATGGGATCCGACAGACCCCGCACCTGCAGACTCTCCGCGGCCCGTATCAGCCCCGGCAGCTCCTCGTGGCCGACCCGCACCTCACCGCGATACATGAAGTCGATCAGAGCGGCCACGTCGTGACCGGTGAAGTCCTTCAGCACGATCACCGGATGCTTGCACGGGTGTTCCGCGAATATCCTCCGGAAGAAGGGACTGCAACATGAACGCGCGAGCCGTTACACGGAGGACCGGCGACGGCGCAGGAGCGCGAGGATCAGCGATCCGGGCTTCCTCGCCTCAACCAAGGTGAACGTCCCAATTAGTGACACGGTAATCTCACCGTGAGAAAAAGTTAACAATGCGAAAGACATTGTTAATCGCGTAAATAATTAATCTTTTGTATTGTCAATTTGTCAATTTCTATATTCTGTAGTTTTTTTCAAGAATTAACAAATGAATAACATACGCGTTAACTTAATTACGTGAAATTTATCTCGTTCGAAAGATAAATAAAGTGTGTAACAGTTACACTGGTAAATGAATAATTATAATAGGTGTTGTAACGTTACTATTGGTTGGAGTTTACCGTAGATAGTTAAAAATATCAAAATTCTTCTTTCATTGTGAAGCAGCGCAAGACAGATTTAGCGAGTTTCAATCCTAATAATATAATTTACTTTAATTCTACTTTAATCCTGATAATATTTTCAATTTCCGTCTTCCTATTTTAATGCCAAAATGGGTTGTTTAAGGTAACGTTAAAATTAAACTTACCGAATGAAAGGTTCAAAATACAAATTAATATCGGCGAATTAGATTTTCATTAGTCCATATACCATTTTCTGAACAGACAAACTATTCTTAAGAGAATCAAAATTTCGACTTAGGTTGTCGATTTGCAAGCGTAATTTGCGACTGTTGTCTGCGATTTTGATAGCGGGGTTTAAAACAACCGAGAATTGAATTCAGCCTTCTGCATAATTCGCTTGTATCTTCACCAACAATGTTTTTCAGCGTCTAGGAGATTAAAAGGAGGACCGGGATCTTAAATTTCTCAGTGGCAAGCCATTCTTACGCGCGAAATTCGCGATTCCTGAATTATCAGGAAGTCCCGGCGCCTTTTTGAGCTTTATTGAGAGACTCAAGAACACCCCGATATTTCATTATATGCTAAAGTCGAATTTAATAGGTAAAGTCGTTATCGTTTTTTCTTTCTCGTTCTCGTTTCGAGTCACGAGACGGCGACACGCTTTCTCGCATGCCCACGTTACAGAAGACTTTATTAACACTACAAGTACCGAATGTTCATTTCTGATTGTTTCATTTTTTAACATTCTATTTCTTGTGTAAAAGATAGGATTCTGAAATCATGACTTTTTATCAATCATTTAGGAAATAATGCGACAAATATATTTTTAAATACTTTTCTCTTAATACATACCCAGGTAGCACAGTTAGTTTCACATACGTTCTTTTTAAACATCGTTGTCGATTCACCAAATAGTTAACAGTCATGTGATGCACGATTATTCGCACATAATACACCTAAACGGAATTTTTCGATGTCATTATATGCCTACACTGAAACGATACATGGAACTAAATAATTTGATTGCGGTAATCAAACATTTGATTGGAATGTATTCACCAAATCTTGATAATTGTTACAGAATCTTTCTTTCAGTGTAGATAATACGATGGTATTAATGAAGCCTTCGGAACTTACATTGACTTAAAAAAAAAATACGAAATTCGAAAAAATATGAAAATATTGGGCGAGAAAAATTGCATAAATCTAGGCATCTAGACTTTATGTATCCGAGAGATTGAAAAATCACAGACTAACACCTGCGGTTTCGACTTTCACTGGACGACGTCGTATGTTGGCTGGCTATCGTGCACAAGCCGTGTGAGGATAAATAAACTCGTATGGAAAATTCCAGCGACAACGTAACTGATCATGCATTTTCATGCGACTTGCTTGCTATGCACACCGCCAACGATTTCATGCTCCGTTACAATCTCATTTACTTGTACGCACCTATCTTATCTTGGCGCGTAATAATGTCGTGAACACACGCGATGTTTCGCGCAACGTTCACGCAGATGGTTGCTCAGATTTCCTTCTTTAACACCTCGACTGCCATAGCGGTTAGCAGTGACCGGCGCTATTACATCGTGCGCTATAACATCTCGCTAATTCGCATATAAAATGTAATCAAATGCGTACAACAATTTTCATTTACAGCTAATTGGGAGCCGATGAAACGAGCTAATGAGCATATGCATCGCGAATTACATTTATTTAGCGCCTCTTGGGCGATTCGAGCTTCAGTTGAATATTGAAATAATTAGTGTAAATTAGCGCGACCGTCAACGTGTCGGTCCGGATCTACAATAGTTGCAGCAAGCCTCCAGCGTTTTGCTGTAAGTAATAAAATTTCTGACAAAAGATCCCGCACTGCAAAAAATCGCAATAACGCTTGAATCTTAGGAATTGCGAGGTCTGGTAATGCTGCAAACACTTTTAGCTAGAAATTATGTTAGGGCTTTAGCAAGATGACTGACATATCGATTCAAGAGAACATTTTTTCGCTTTAAATCTTTGGCTTAAATAACGCATAATAACTCTCGCGTCAGGAGTCTTGAATTAAAAGGCTGTTCGGCTCGTGATTGATGACAAACCGTTGTATAATAAAAAAGAAATAAAAATATTAGAATTTTGATCAAGATTTTAGGACGTAAAACATTGTCCTAAAATTACTAGTCAGCCATTCCGCTAAGGTCCTTACAATTTAGAATTTACAGCAAAAGGCTGAAGGCTTATTACACCTATTGTGGAGAAACTTACGCCTGTTATATAGTATGTCGGAAATCGAAACACAGCCGATAGTTCAATGAGAGTATTTGTTTCTCGAAAACGATTTCTCCTCATTGGGCAATCGGCTGCATTTCGACATTCGACAACGATACGCGACATATTGTATAATAGGCCTTAATCTTATAGAGTACGTTTCGAGAGGAGCAACATCGGTCTCACTTTATAAGTCAAGAATTTCGATCATATCCCTCCGAAGGACATAATTACGTTATTTGCATCCCTTTCTCTCTCTCTCTCTCTCTCACTGTATAGAACTCATGCTGACTTATCGCGATTCATTCGTGCCGTTCATCTCCAAAAACAGACGCCGTTCACCGTCGAAACGGCGACGTACGCCGCAAAACCACCGTGCAAAGTCCGTTTGCAAATACCTCCCTTCACCCCCTCACCCCTTCCAACGGCTTCCACATTTGTGTCAGAGCGTGTGTTAAAATGCGCAGGCGTGGGACGGAGCGACACTTGGTTTGAAAATTCGAACCCACGTACACGCCGGTGGCTATCGCTCGCTCGAGGAAGCTTTACCACCGCGACGATTTGTAACGTTACATGTACATCTCGTGGCGAGGAACGTTGCGTGTCTTCGCCGAGTAAGACAGAACGGCGGGCAGAAACCGCGGGCAAAAAGCCACCGCAAGAATTAGCGTTCCTTCCCCGATCGAGCGACAGCGAATCAGCGATGGTACAAGACTTTCGCTCGTTGTCAACTTTACGTCACACGCGCGGGGAGCGAGAAGAGCGGCGGTATCGTGTATAGAGCCTCTCCGCCCATGGTAAACCACGAAGGAGCGAGCGAGGAAGTTTTTCGCGAGCAAGAAAGACCGCGCAAGCAAGAACCGCTCTCGCTTTCAAAACGCGACGCGCTTCTTTCGCGCTCTGTGCGCTTCCGCCAATCGACGAATATCGGACGTTTCCAATCGGAGACGGCGGATAGAGAGCGCGGGAATTTATAATCGCAAGATAAGCGAACGGAGGTAAGCGAGGAACTTGGACCCTTTACTGCGAAACTTGGCGCTTCTCGCTCCACGATCAAAGTATCCCTTTTCTTGTTTTTTTCTTATTATTCACGTGACGTCGACGCAGCATAACGCGAATCACGCCGCTGATCTCCCGTGTCCGTCGCGAGGAGGTAATAATTGTTTTCTTCGTTTATAATTACGTTTATAATTTGTAAATAAATCTTTCGAGTTACTTTTCGTATTAAAGAATATCCTTACAATGATACGAGCCACATCGCTGATACCCGAATGGTGATTCTTTTTCTTCGTTTGAATTACCTAAGTAGAGACGCAAGTGGAACGTTGAGAAATAATGGAAAGTAAATCTTTCCAATCACTTTCTGTATCAAAGTATGTATGTTGTTGAAGCATTTTGGAAATGGAAACATTGATTCCTACGACACAGTTAACAAGTTTTCCGGTTTTCTAGAGGAAAAATTTATCCAATACTTTCCCTTCTCAGTGTGTGAAAATTATTCTTGAATAATAACAAGAATATATATGATACTTTTAGTGGAACTGCATAGAATTTCTTGACGTAAGCAAGTTTTATCTTCACGTAAGATTATATATTCTTGTTTACCTATTGAGAATATAAGTGAATTATTATCTTGAATTTTTATATTAGTTTCTCTTTCCATGTATGACGACTAAATTTGTAAGCTTTCTCGTAAGATTTATATTCCGTTAAAGCCGCAGAGAGCACTACCGGAGTGACGTACAAAGAAACACGCAATATTATTAGTTTATATGAATAAATTCCGTGCCCCCGACCATCATTGTTTGCCTATTCATTGTTTCGCACAAACTCGCAGTTCGCAAATGTTTCCTAGACCGGAGAATAACTACCTGTAAAAATTCCAATTTGAGACTTTTCCCCGTATTTTGCGATCTCAAAGTCGGCCCGCAGCAGTCCCTTTTGAGACTTCGAACAGAACATGCACGAAAAAGTCGCTACGGCTAACGCGATGCGACGAGCTACCTAGCAACGTGCAAAGCGAATGAAAAGCGGACAAGCCGATCCACCTGCGACCCACCTGCGAAGTAGCAACCGCCTGTGAGAGAGGAGCATGCGTGATTTACCTGCAGGCACTGAGGACGACCTTGTGCGCCCTGAGGCTACTCTCGGCACACACAAGGGTCACGTCGACGAGCACCTCCGAATGCAGCAGCGCCTCGAAGGCCTGTAGTATATGGCTCTGATGATTGTTCCAGCGTAGAGAATAATGCGACATTTTTCTTCCGCCGCTGGCGTCGTTAGCGGAGCCGCCACCTTGCTCCGCCCCGTGCTCTCTCGTGCCGCGTCCTCGTGGTCCTGCGTGGTCCTTCCTTTTCCATGCACGCACGCACACGGCCACGCACGTATCGCGAAGGTGCTTCCCCCTTCTTCACTTTCTGCCGCTGCCGTTGCCTCGCTAACCTTGCGCCCTGCCGTTCTCCTGGAATCCGAAAGACGCCAGACGGTCAGACGCCAAATAATGGGAAAATGGCGACCGTGCGCTGAGTGGGAAAAACTCGACCGCGAAATTGTGTCGGCTCTTCCAGCCGCTCACAGTTTCGGAAGATCTACGGCCGGCATTCATTCTAGGTATTCTTGTTTACACCGATCATTTGATACGCTTGTCAACTTTCTATTAAATTATCTTAATTTTGACGATGCGTGTAAACAACGTTGTATTCAATTGGTACGACGGGTCTTCTTGATGCGTGTTATACCAACTCCCAGGTTTGCAAAGCGATGATCGATTCGATATCGATGATTGATTTTTCGGGCCATTAGATTTGATTACCATATCTTTCGTTGATGCAAAAGATGTTGCGATTGGCGACAGATCCGTATGGCATTTTGTTAATATCATGTCGATATCCCGGTATCTATGTAGAAGATGTCATATAGATATCGATTGATTATTGCCGAACTAGTCGGTATCTGGTCGATATCACATCTAAGTCGAATCGTTATATTCATATTTCAACTTGATGCGGATATGATATAAACTGTATTATTAGGTCGTCAACATCTACATAATATCTTCTAGATATCGTGATGAAGTCTTCCAAACATCAAATCGAACATTGATTTCCATATGATTTCGACTGGATTTTTCATCGAATCATGTGAATCCAGGTTGGTACGCCGTCGTTTACATACATCATCGACATCGAGATAATTTAAGAGAAAGTTGCCATTTAGTACGTGTATCAAATAACAGATGTAAACTAGGTCACAGTCAGGTCTTACATTCAAGACTGTTTTATGTTCGGTTTCAGGTGCTTTATAGCTGATGAGACGATTCATATCTGAAGATGAACTTGAAACGATCTTAAATATAAGATCGGACTATGAATACCGCTCCATATGGCCTCCGACATATCGGGTCGGGCTATTAGGAAGTTTTTGCGACACTGCGCTTAAGACAGGGCGAACATCGAAGTCTAGGGTTTCGCGCGATCGTCGCATGGTCGCCGTGGTTTTCATCGTGGACTCGCGTTAACGCCTTCTCCTCTGTCCGACGGACTCGGAACCAAATCCTCGAGGATTCGAACGATAAGGATTCTTCATTGTCCGCATGGCTTTGTGTCTATAGCGAGCAATTTACTTCCCAAAAGCTAACGGACACGTTACCTTTTCTAGAGAAGGAGCGTGCGCAAGCAAAGAAATATTTCGATCTCGCAGCATTAAAAATTCAATAACGCATCGAGTTGTGAAAGTTCGTTCGGTTTCTTAATCGGTTCTTTGCTCAGAAGCTCTACCTGCGCGAGATCATGCAGAGCTACCTGAGAGACGGCAGGTCATCGAACAAAACGGCACATACATAATTGATTGTATTTCAAAATAAACAAATATCCCATGTATATTTTGATCAAGAAACGGAACGAACTTTTGCATCAACCTAACAAATTCAAATAAATTAAATAGTATTATAATATTATTATAAATGCAAATACGTGTGTGTATGTGTATGGTATATGCGCGCGCGGACATGCGTAATTAAATAACAAACTAAAATAAAATAAAGCGAAAACGGGGTTTAGAAATTTATCGAAGGGAAGAATTTTGATTGGCAATCCACTCGCTATCAGATCGAAATTATCGCGCTTAACGTTTACACGGTAAAACATTTTGTGCTACAAACGATCTACGCAAAATCTATGTGTTGCTTTAACAAGATGAAAAAGTAATATGTTAACAATGTGAATATGTTAACTTCATTTATATCTTTCTAACATATTCCCCATGTTAAAGTAACGCACAACAAAAAGTTTGGGTGGATCGTTAGTGACACAAAACTGTTTACCGTGTTGATGCCGGTTCTAATTAAACTTTCTCACTGGTTGCTGCTCACCTAGCGAATTTTCACCCAGAATCTTTAATTTTGACTGGAATTTCACACGGGATCTGACACACAGACGTATCACCGCGCGTCTCCCGGATAAACGATTCGCAAAGAATTCGCGTTACACGCCGGAGGATCGTCGTCGCAAAGAGGCACGCAGTCGCGTCGGACACGCGGGGGATGACACGCGGCCGAGTTCTCGCGATAATTATTGAATCGGCCGACTCACCCCCGAATATTTCGGTGACGTTGGCACTCGTTTCGTCGAGTGCGTTTCGCCGTGAATAACTTCGCGTAGCGCGTTCCCCCTCGGTAGAAGAGGGGTGATCGGAAGCCGGGGAAAAGAAGAGAGGCGCGGCCCGCGGCCGATTTGCGCGCTTTCCGCGGCATCCGCAGGTATCCGGCGTTGCGAAGGAAATTCTCCGAGTCGACACACGACACCTTGTGCATCTCGTGCAACGAGGCAAAAGGGGAAGAAGGAGGAGGAGGAGGAAACAAAAAGAGGGGATCATCGTCCGCGACGTGAGCGGTGTATCTCGATACCTCTGAAATCGAGGAGACAAAATCGCCGATCGATTCCTGGAAAATCTTTCCCATCCAACTGACCCGTCAATCGCATCGGCGCTCCCGCGCGATTCAAACGAACGCCTACGAGTGAACCCTGACTTTCTCGGGCCCCGGGGGATTAATCCGGTGAATCCCGCGTTACTTTTTATCGCTGATTGATAACGCATCATCACGGGAGGCGGTATCAGCCGGGAGAGAAAGAGAGAAAAAGTGAGGAGAGGGAGAGAGGGAGAGAGAATAACTCGTCTCTATCGATCATCCGTGAAATTACAACGATACGTAAGCCCCGTCGGCGAAGCGCATTACACCCACCGGGAGCAAGGCTCTCACTTTATTCCTTTTATCCGCGATGCGCAACGCGGATGGCCCTCGAATTCCCGTTGCTTCTGTCCGTGTTGCGCGCGACGTAAACGGTATCAATTGCGACGCGACAGTGACACGGCGCGTCGTTGGCGGGTGCTTGTACGTTTATTTTATAATTAAAACATAATTAATGCAAAAGGTGGCAAAGGTGTGTGTAGGCGCGCGCGAGCGGCCGGGCGACGTGACCTGGAACGAGCGCGCACTACTGCTGCTCTTCAACGTCACGTCACTCGCACACGTGCGATGGCTTTGATTGTGAATTGCATCCTGTAAAAGAATCGCCCGTAGTGCGCGCTCGATAAATCACTCCGGACGCAATTACATTAACAACAATGCAATAACGATAAAAATAGCGAATTTGTTTCAAGAGAGAATGAGGGGGAGGCGCGAGAGGGTGAGGGAGGGGCAGAATGTTTCGCGTGTGAAACGGGAGAATTCTCTGGAATTGTGCGTCGAGTAGTCTCCATGTGAAACGAATATCCCGGCAGCGCGTCCCGCGTAACTTTGTAACGATCCGGGAAATGAAATCGAAGCCAGCAGCGAGGAAGCGCGGATTCGCGACGTGTCGCGGGCCCAGCGTCCGGAAGTCGCGATCGCCGTTAAATAAGCGGCCCGTAAAAGTGGCTCCATTGTCACGGGCTAATTAATTGCCGGCTGACAGGTCTCCCGCGATCGTAAACAATCCCTCTCATAGGAGAGATTGAGGTAGGCACACAATGAACTACAAACAACAAACAACGGAGCGAGCGAGCGAAGGGATCGAGCTGCGATGTCGCGCGGCAAGATCAAATAATCGAACTCGCTTTTCGACACCGTCCTCCTGCCTTTTCCCTCGGCGAGCGACCTTTCGCTCGACGGTACGCAAAAGCGACGCGAAAGTGGCGTTAAAACCGCGTACCGCGGCCGCGTCGTTTGCTTTGACGGGAAGTCGCGAGAGATGAAAAAAAACTTTCCTCTCTCTCTCTCCACGGTTAGAACCACGCAGTGCGTTCAGGGGAACCGCCGGACTACGATACGTCACTGTGCGCCGTCGAAAACTCCTCCGCAAGTTTGTTGTCAAACTCGCACGTGTTCGGAAAAAGCGCGGATTCACGTCGACCGGTACTCTCTCGCTCTCTCTCTCTCTCTCTCTCCCCGATTCTCTCGCGACGTTCTTTTTCTTTTCGCTGCCATTGCTCTCGCTCCTTTTCTATTTCCGCGTCCGTGTCTCGAAGAGGCCACTGTATGTTGCGCGCGCGAGCTATTAGCCGTCGCGGTGCGTGGCACCCTTAACTTCGTCGAGCAAAACGACGTGTACGGAAGAGAGTTGGGATTAGTGTCGATGCTCGCGGTTCTCGCGGTATCTCGGAAATAACGATTGATGCCGCTACTATTACTATCGCAGCTACTGCGAATACCGTGCTACACAGCGATCGGAACATTAGCGAGAATACGTGAGAATCCGGTTAGTCGATTGACGAGATCGGCGTTGAGACTGATTAATTCGTCGCGCGTTACATTTTCGAAAATCGCACGCCGCCGAAGAAGAAGCGTACACCCCGTTCTCCCGATCACCAATCGACTCGCAACGATCGCAATCATAAATACAAAATGTACAATGAAGCCTGGACACGATCATCGCGCAAAGCCGAACAATAGATGTTGCCGGTTGAAGGTTGAAGCACCGGTCTCGCTTGAGCGGATCGGTGCTCCGATCGAGCTCACGCGCGGAATCCGCGATTGGGATCTCGCGGGTTCGAGTTCCTCGTCGTGCAAGACACAAATCCACTTCGTTAACGCGACTCGTTCCGCGAAATTAGAATCTTTTCATCCCGGTCTCGGAGGTCTCGGAATACTCTTACCCTTTCAGGACGCCGTCAATAGCGACTCAAGGCTCGTCGCAAACCATCGATTGCTCCCGTACTCGCAGATCTTACTGCCACTGACGGAACACCTTTCTTCTTCTTCGAGAGAGAGAATGACAAATT